CCCTTCCTGTTGAAAGGATTATTTTCTTGAAACTGAGATGCTATGCAGGTATAAAGGTTCGGAGAAGAGTCAGTCCTCAGACTCCTGTGGCTTTAGGAACCTGCTATATAAAAGTTTGAAGTGTCATGAGGCATACTTTTTTGAAAGAATAAAACAGCTTGCAGAGGAAGCGATGATCGGTAATATTTAGAGGGAAATATAAAAATGACCGTTTCTCTTACCACTACAAAATTAGTGTCGGTTCGGTTTCACTTTGTAGATAAGTATTTGTGCAGTTTAATCATTTAAACCTCCTCTGAAATTTCCCGAGGCTTTTTGTTGAGATCCCGATTGGATTTTAGAATGATACGCTGCGCTGCTTGAAATGTTTTCAAGGACATGCGATGTACGGCACGTCGGTATTTTGTTTTCACTTTATTATAAACTCGGCCAGGTTTCGAAAAAAATAGCGTTGTTTTCTAATCCTTTGTCGTTCGCTTTAGGCTTGTAATTCTTTCTTATTCTTATTTTTCCATTTGCTGGTTAGATTTTTCCTCAACATCAGATTTTCCAACAGAAGCGACTTTATTCTTCGTATGAAGCTTTCCTTATCTCGTCGTGTAATCTGATCCTTTTTAGTGGTAAGAATTGCTTGTTTCACATGGAAAACTTTTCTTTGCTTACACTGTTGTTTTACAAGCTTCTCTTCGTTAAAACCTTACATTAATGGCCCCCAAATTAATACAATGCATCAAGTTTTCATTTTCCTTGACTGCCGGGGCCAGATTTAGGTGAATAAACAATAAAAGCAATGCATGTGCGCCAAGAAAAGTTTACCGCCTTTTGATTGGCTGAAACTGTCACATCACTTGGTCTCAGGGGAATCTACATGACATTAGGTTATACTTTTTTCAGCTCGATCGAGAATTTTTCTGCCTACAGCCGAGTCTTGCGCGGCTCTATTCTGCTGCCGCCTCGCCATCCGAGCGTCTTTCCTCGGATGGCTCGTTGGCAATAACAAATATGAAACTAGATTGGAGAAATTCGCTTCTGTAAATTTTTCTCACGAATTTTCTTTCGGCGCCACATGACGACCTGAGATGCTTGTGAAATATTTAAATTTTTTCAAAATTCAACCGATTGCTTCGGATAAAAGAGTGCGACCCAAACCTTCCAATTTACTAGTTAATTTAATTGAGCCTTTATCTTTAAAATAACACATGTGTATTCTCTGACTCCCACCACAAACATGGGGCCAAAAAACAAATTTTAAAGTACACATGTGTATTCTCTGACTCCCACCACAAACATGGGGCCAAAAAAACAAATTTTAAAAGCCAAACGGCTAGCAACTAACCCGGGGGGGAAGGGGTGCTCCCTTATAAGGGCTTAATGGGAACGTGCGGCCAGCCAGGGTATGATTTTCGGGATTTTTGTCTTAAACATCGTATCGAATTTATCATTTTTTGTCTTAATCAGGGTATCGATTTATCAATTTTTGTCTTAAACAGGATAAATGTCTTAAACAGGGTATCAAAAATCAGAATTCTGTCTTAAACAGGGAAGGAAAATCAGCGATATTTGTCTTAAACAGGGTCAGGGTATGAGGGGCCGCGCCGCACCTCCCCACCCAGGGATATATCAACCCCCCCCGGGCGGGGCAACTAATAAGCGCAAAGAGCGCAGAAAGGTCAGACGTCAGAAACGTTCAATTATCACAATAGACGGGAACAAAAAACACATAAAAAACCTCTCAAACAAAGAACTTACAAATGACCAGATTAATTTACTGGCAAAAGGGCTTAAATTCATTCCAACACCCGTTACAAAACAAACACAAATCAGGCAACAACTCTTGCGTGACTTTGATCAGTTTGCAAGAAGAATGCGTCTTATGTACATATTTCGAGGGGAAAACAACGAACCCCATCCTTGCCATGTCAAATCTGCATGGAAACCACCAATACAACGATCATTAACCCTTGAAAGTCATCTACAAGAGGTTAAGAGTGAACTTACAGAAATAGAAATAACAAAGCCAAAAAATAATCTGCCTCCGGCCGAACGTGAGGCTCTCAGAGCCCTAAAAACGTGACACTGAAATAAACCTTAAAAAGGCCGATAAAGGAACAGCAACAGTAGTCATGAACACACAAGACAAAATTTAAGGAGGCCAAATTCTACTAGATAATAAGGACAACTAGAGGCCTCTTGCATCACCCATGGTCACTGAGACAAACCTTAAAGTTAAACAACTTATTACAGACCTCTACAACGGGGATCTGCGGTGGCCCATAAGGGACATCTCGATATTTTTCATTTCCACTTAATAATTTGCGATTTGACTTACTCTCGATCCAAGTTAATAAATAGCAATACCAATTTATACCTCTCGATCTTGACTTAACACTCGCGATGGTACGTTAGAACTCTCGATCGCAACTTCTAACTCGCGATCGCCACGTGTAACTCTCGATCGCAACTTATAACCCGCGATCGCCACTTATAATTTGTAATCCCGACTTACAACTCGCGATCGCCACTTATAACTCCCGATCGCTTCTTACGATTCGCGATCGCTACTTATAACTCGCGATCACCACTTATAATTCGTGATCGCAACTTACAACCCCCGATCACCACTTACAAGTTGCGATCGCTACTTATAACTCGAGATCGCCAGTTGTAACTCGCGATCGCCACTTATAACTCGCGATCGCCACTTATAACTTGCGATCGCTAATAATAACTCCTCATTTTATTATATATATTTTCTATCCACGACCACATCGACCCCACATCGACCCTACACCAACCCCACATCGACCTTTATACATCGACCCTACATCGATCCCACATCGGCCCTACACTCAACATTTTTTTCAACACTGCTTCGTGAATAGTGAAACTATATACCACCACCGCCACATTTCTGTTTTTTTCCCACCACCACCACTAGCCTGCGTAGCAAGCGTTTCCTCGCGAAGGGAACGCAAACGGAACGCAAAGGGAACGCACCAACGAGGCTTAATTTCCAACATAGTAGACTACTCACTTCAGAGTAGCTGAAACCAAGACCAAAGTAGTCCTCTTTCAAGGCGTCTCCATCTCCATTGCCTCTACGTAAATTAGGAATATAATTTGGAAAAGCTCCACCGGCATTAAGTGTGAAAAGAGTGATCAGAAAAGTCACAGCAAAGTAATTCCGTGTAACAACCGCTATCCTGATGGCGGTACTGAATATGCGCACGCTCACTTGCTGGAGTACAAAGCCATCCTCTAATGCACCTATAATTGTCTTTGTTGGCCCTGGAGTAGGGCATTTGACTGATCTTGTTCTCCCAGGGGAGGGGATATTTGAATCTTTCTTCGCCCGACGTGAAGATATTTGACTGCCAACTCGGACGAAAAAGATTTATACCGAAAACATGCTTCCCACTTCCACGCTTCACGCATGCGCCGTACGGTCTGGAAAGATCAGGTAGTCATGGAGGCCAATGAGAACAAGCGAAGGCTGAGTGGATTTCACTGTTTTGTCTTCAAATTTCGTTTGTTTTAGGGTGTTTTTCATCAATTGAACGTCTTAAAATACTGTGGTATCAAAGTAAACGGAAGTAAAGAGAAATCAAGTCGATTTTTCCTAGTACAATTGAGTAGTGTGTGGCTCATTGGCAGGGGGGCCCCCTGCTCATTGGCTACAATCACAGTAAACTTATAAAACTGACTTTCTTTGTACCTTTTACTAAGAACGGTATATTTAAACTTACAAAATGTGGACTTTCTCCTAAAGGTTTATGTATTCTACGGAGTGTAACACGGATTATGGTTAAAACATATAATTGCAGCTGTAATGGGAACATGTTGCATCACATGGTGATGCAACGTTTATAAAAGATTGCAGAGTTTTATTTGGAGATATTTTTATTGTGCCTTTCTTGGGTTGTGCCTTGGCATTGAAAGCAATGTGCAGCCAGGGGTGGGGAAATTTGGCTGCATTTGACTGGAGTGATTTGCCCGTGGGCAGGGAATTTGATTGCAAATTTTTGAAAAAAGTCAAATCCCCACCCCATGCCGTGCCTCCCCACCTCTCCCGCCGGCATTACATTGATAGGTGCATAACGCGTGATCGAAAACGATCGCGAGTTGTGAGAGGCAATCGCGAGGTTTAAGTAGCGATCGCGAGTTGTAAGAGGCAATCGCGAGGTTTAAGTAGCGATCGCGAGTTATAAGTGTCGATCGCGAGTTATAAGTGGCGATCGCGAGATGTAACTGGGGATCGCGAGTTATAACTGACGATGGCAAGTTTTAACTGGCGATCGCGAGTTAAAAGTGGCGATAGCGGGTTGTAAATCGCGATCGCCAGTTATAAGTGGCGATCGCGAGTTACAACTGGCGATCGCGAGTTATAACTGGCGATGGCAAGTTTTAACAGGCGATCGCGAGTTAGAAGTGGCGATTACGAATTATAAGTGGCGATCGCGAGTTGTAAGTCGCAATTACGAGTTATAAGTGGCGGTCGCGGGTTATAAGTTGCGATCGAGAGTTATAACTTACCATCGCGAGTGTTAAGTCGAAATCGAGAGATATAAGTTTGTATTGCTATTTATTAACTTGGATCGAGAGTAAGTCAAATCGCAAATTATTAAGTGGAAATGAAAAATATCGAGATGTCCCTTATGGGCCACCGTAGATCACATAGACGACATGACTGAAAAATGGCTTTGTCAAACACCAAATCCGCCTCAAATTCCAGAATTTTACACCCTCACTAAGATACACAAGCCGTCCCCGGTCGGCAGACCGATAGTATCAGGGTGTGATGGCACAAAGAAGAAATTATCATCATTTGTCGACAAACTCCTTCAGCCGATAGCACAACAACAAAAGTCGTATCTTAAAGATACTACCGACTTCGTTAATTTCATAGAAAATACGAAAGTCCCAGCGGAGGTCATACTTGTTTCAATGGACGTTACGAGCTTGTATACAAATATACCGCAAGAGGAGGGAATAGACACGGTATGCAGACGAAAATATTCTATAGAAACGAACCTCCTATCCCTACACAACTACTAAAACGAGCGCTCAGGCTAATTCCCTGGGGGTACTCCCATACATTACCTATTACCTATACGGGTATATGCCGCCCAACGGGGTCGTGATTTTGAAGCTCCTGATTTAGAACGGGGTATCCATTTCAGAGGCGTTTTCTAGGACGGGGTATAATATTTCGAACGCACGAAAGCTCCAGTTTATCTCCAGCTTTATCTTCAGCTTAAAATTGTTGCTGATAAAAACAGGGCAATTTCAATTTACAAACTTTCTAGAACGCGAGTATAAAAAATTGGCCCATTTCTAGCACGGGGTATCAGTTTCAGGGCGAATTCTAGAACGGGCTATAAAAAATTTTTTAGAACGGGGTGCCAATTTGGAGTCCCAGGCGGCACATACCCACCCAAAAAATACCCAAGTGCCCCCCTCCCTCCCCCCTCCGGGGCTAATTCTCCAAGAAAATTCTTTCCAGTTTAATGGTAAAAACTACCTTCAAACACATGGTACGGCCATGGGCACGAAAATGGCAGTCGCCTTTTCTAATATATTCATGAACAGGGTAGAGACGGAAATCCTTAGCCAAAGCCTCTCAAAACCGCTCGTTTGGAAACGTTACATAGACGACATCTTCTCGCTCTAGACTACAAACAGAGACAGAATAGAACATTTCATTGAACAAGCAAACAATCATCACCCTACGATCAAGTTTACGGCTGAAATTTCCGATAAGGAAACAACATTCCTGGACACCTACATCTACAAAGGGGAAAGATTCGAAAGAGACGCAATCCTTGATGTGCGTACTCATTTCAAACCAACTGAGACATTTTAGTATACCCATTTTGCTTCCTGTCACCCGCAAGGAGTTAAAAAAGGCTTCATTAAAGGGGAAGCCCTCCGACTCCTCAGAACAAACTCTTCAAGAATATTATTCGAAGAGAAAATTACAAATTTCAAAGCTCATCTACTACAGAGGGGTTACCTAGAGGACCTCATTAACACAACCCTCTCAGAGGTGAATTTCAAAGACAGGAAACTAGCCCTTCAACAGAAACCAAAGACAAATCTACGAATCTTGCCTTTTGTCACACAATACCAACCATCAGTGCCTGACCTAAAGCAAATTCTCATGAAAAACTGGCATTTCATAGAACAACAACCATTACTGAGCGAAATCTACCAAAACCCGCCCCTCGTATCTTATAAAAGAGGGCGGTCGCTCAAAGACATACTCGTGAGAGCCAAACTATAAAAAAGCTATTTTAAACACGCGCTGGGGAGTCGCGTAGGCCTGTCAACCCCATTTTACACGAATGCGAATCACAAAGATAGTTCAGAAACTATAGAAAGAATTCCAGAGGAAACAGGACCTTAATAACGCCTACAAATTGTCGAAAGAAAGGAGGGAATATCAAGGTGATAAAACTTGGATTTTCGGGGGCCCTGAAAATGGCGAATGAAGAGCGTGAGTTGAGCGTGAGCGCGCAATGCAAACTGGGTGGTTGAGATTCTTTAAGAATGAATTTCATTGATAAAGGGATTGCAGTATTGGAGTCAAAATTTCACTTTGAGATTAAAGATTGAGATTTTCTAACGGCTGGTAGCCATTTAAAGTAATGAATGTTGAATTCTGACACACCGTGAAAGCCAAAGGCACAGGTTATCACGCGCGAAACACGAAACCTTTAAAAGGTGGATGGCTGCAATTGTAAATGCAAATGTGCAAGATATTTTTTCTCTTTTTCCAGGAATGTTTTTCGTTCAGAAACGGTACATTTGCTTTTAAGAATTATTCTTGAGACTTTCAAACTGCATTACTTCTTCTAAACGTCTAATACTTGCGATGAATATCTCGCCCTGCGAACACAAATCAGGTCAGACGCTTCAAGCTGTTAGACAATCGCTAACCTGGATGCCAGAGACTTTTTATGCGAGGTTTCCGGTTTCGGTCAATTCTTTACAGTGAGCGGTGGGCCCAAATTTGTCTAGCGCCCTCTCAAAATTCAAATGTTTGGCGGCCAAACATTTATGTTTGAACCCACTTTGAACCTATTTTCTCGTTACGTGTCCACGGTTGGATCCAAACGACAGTATCACAGCTTGCGGGTGTGCGTGGATGTCGCCTGAGGAGATAGTTGTCGTTTTTGTACAATGTTTTTATACTGATGTAGCAAAGACCTCGTGCAATTAGCAATTTTCGGAACCGCTTTCTCCGGCGAACTTCCACAAGCCAGGACCGTTTTGCTCTTCGGCAGCTACTACTCTGGCCAGATTTTTCCAAGTAGAAATCTTTTGACTCGTCGGCGAAAGTAATACCAAGTTTGCACCCGGGGTTTGCACGTCATCTCGTTTGTTGTGCGTGATCGGCAGTGAAATGAATTACCCTCCAAGTTTAAAATTACATGACGCTACTCTAACCGACCAATGGGGTGGCGTCCTTAAAATAACCACGCAGTATGACACAGAACCAAGTTAGAATAGATTGAAAATAATTTTCATGGAAAGAGGGTCATGTATGGAGTATTCGCTCTCCTAGATCATTCTCTCTTGCCTAAGGTTAATACCCAACGTTTTAAAGATAATTTAATTAGCTATTTTTCAAATATAGAGTAGCTATTTAATGTATAGTGGATCTTGAAAGTTAAATTCAATGCTTCTACATGGAATTTTTTAAGCCTTGTAATTGTTTCTGCTGTTTTCATGTGAGTGTTCTTGGTTTTTAGCATGTACATTTGCAAAACAATAAAGACCTTTTATTGCCAACGAGCCATCCGAGCGAAGACGCTCGGATGGCGAGGCGGCAGCAGAATAGAGCCGCGCAAGACTGGGCAATAGGCAGAAAAATTCTCGATCGAGCTCAAAAAAGTGTAACTTGGGGGGCGTCGATAAAACCAGGAACATGGAACATCCCGGAACATGAAAAAATTGAAATATTTTTTTATGAAAAAATAATTAATTAATTCAATAAAAATATTAATAATAATAATAATAATAATAATAAATAATAATAAAAATAACAATAGATAGAAAACAATTTCTGCAAAATTTATAATAACAAAACAAATAACATAACATAACATAACATAACATAAAAACGAAAAATAAAGAAACAAAGAAAGAAAAAAAAGGAAAAAGAAACTGGTATCATCTCCGAGCATTCTCTATTTTCCAATTGCCCATAATACACTCTGTTTGCCCCCCAAATTTTGCATAAACCATTGTTTTTAAATGCTCCTGGGAGTATTGCATTTTCCCAAGAGCATTTTAAGACAATAAGTTATGCAAAATTTGGGGGGCAAACAGAGTGTTTTATGGGCAATTGGAAAATAGTCAATGAGAAAACAATATTTTGTCGCAATGAATTTTTTGGGCGAGTGGGGTCCATTCAAATGACAGTAATGAGTGAAGGCTTGCTTCTAAATTCAAAATATATGAAAATGGGTCGCGAGGAGGGGGTTTTCAAGCTTTCCTCACACAGCCACCTCTTGTAAATGTTTGCCATGCGGTTTAACGGTTATCAATTTACGGCCTTGCGACCGTAAGAAGAGCTTAGGGGCTCGTCGCTTTGGACTTGGATAATTAAATTAAACATTCACATTCGCCGCAGAATAGCTGCAGTGGCATTGGTAGCGCAGTGGTGTTTTCTGAGTTAGCCTGAATTTTACTCGTCTCCCCGCAAACTCCTCTTGCGACTCGAGGAGACGTCTGAAATACCATGCTGACTGCAAACAGTATAGAAACTACTACGAATGTGAGTATTGTCCACTAAATCCAAAGACAGGAGCCGCTATACTCTTCTTAAGTTTACAGAGCCGCCTAGTCTGTAAGTAATTCATGTCAACCTCAAGTGAAGCAAAGCACCTTAAGTAATCAAATGTCGGTTATATATAAGGAAACTATATGTTGGCTTGACATGAGTTACTTACCGACTTGGCTTGACATGAAATACTGGACTGACATTTCAGACCATCGCAGAACCGTAAATGGATAACCGCCAAATGATTAACTCATGGCAAACAATTACAAGAGGTGGTTGTGTGAGGAAAGCTTGAAAACCCCCTCCTCGCGACCCATTTTAATATATTTTGAATTTAGAAGCAAGCCTTCACTCATTACTGTCATTTGCATGAACCCTCACTCGCCCAACAAAGTTTAATCTGTTGCGACAAAATATTGTTTTCTCATACTCAGAGACGATACCAGTTTCTTTTTCTTGATTATTTCATTATTTTTGTTTTTTTTTTTTTTGTTATTTTACGTTTTATTAATTTTTACAAAAATTATTTTATTATTATAATTTTATTATTTTTTTTATTCATGAAAATTATTTTTATTTTTTCATGTTCCGGGATGTTCCGGGATGTTCCATGTTCTGTATCAAGTTATCGACGCCCAACCTAGGGCGCTTTCCATTTAGTCAAAATTTCCGGAATTTCCGGTTCGGCGGTAAATGGAACACGTTGCGTCGGTTCGTCCCACTGGAAAATTCCCAGAAAAAGTGGAAAATCTAAAAAGGTGGTCCCGTTTTCCCGGTTGGAATTTCCAAACGAAATGTCGTGTTCCATTTACGTTTCTCGTAGTTTGTACCAGTTCCAGGTCCACGGTCGGGCACCGCCACGTACCCGGGTTTACGACCAAATGGAACACCTTTTTACCAATCGGAAATTCCACTTTTGCTACCACCGAAATTTCCGGTTTTTTTTCCTAAATGGAAAGCGCCCCTAATGTAATGTAGATTCCCCTGAGACCAAGTGGTCAGTTGTGAACCAATCAAAAGGCAGTACCTGGCGAACGGGCTCAAGTTGAATGTGGTAGCTTTCTAAAATACAAAATTTCACACAATTCCCGCCGTCGCGACTTCCTGTGTTTATTTACCTAAATTTATTCCTCAAACCTGGCCACTGCAGTCAAGAAACATGAGCACTTGATATATTCTATTAATTTTAGGAGCCATAATGTTAAGTTTTAACGAAGAGAAGTTTGTAAAACAGCGAAAGTGTTCTATGTGCAACAAGCAATATTCTCACCACTAAAAAGGATCAGATTACACGAGGAGATAAGGAAGCTTGACACGAAGAATACAAGGCCCGTTTACACGTTAAAAGAGAAGGAACGGCTCGGTTAGAAACAAGTACCGGTTCCAGACGAAATCTTCTGTTTACACGTACAAATTCTGTAATGTGCCTGACAGAAAAAGGCACGGTACTTGAGAGCCCTTTGGAACGGGTACTAGACTGTTTACACGTTGTTTTCTTCGAGACCGGTAACGATAGAGCCCGCGATAATTAAATAAAACTGCTAACATTAGTTATTCATATGCGCTTATACATACAGTAGACTGTGCGTATCTCCGACAATCATGGATGCAGGTTTACTAGCACTTTTCTGGTTTGTTCTAAAGAAGAGAACACGAAATTCACGTTTGACAGCGCGTGCGATTCGTCAAGGAACAGAAAATGTACCGAATTAGGAGAAAAACAAGGCTTACGGTTCTCCTATTAACGGCCCTTGTATCGCACTTCACAGTCGAAAGGAGCTTCTGGCAAATTCCAAGAACAAGCGCTTGGTTTTGATCTTACATACAGCACTTACTCTGACGATCAGTGGTATGCTAGGTTTCGAGTGTCGAAGAATACTTTC